TTGTTGTTGTTGTGGTTGCTGTTGTTGTTGTTGTTGCGTTGTTGCTGCTGTAGTTGCGCTGTTGCGTTGGACTTTCGCGTCTAATGAGCAATGTTTGTTGGTCCCCCCTGCCGGGTGCAGCTTGAGTCTTAAATAAAAAATGCGCTTGGGGCTCGCACGCTGTTTTTACAAGGGTCAGCCGTGAGCCTTGGACTGTGTTGTTGGGCCCCGAACTGAAATGACAGCAGCTCCCGCCGGATACTTCCTCACAATTAATTCAAAACCGCGCTCTCGCGCGGGATATCTTCATCACTTATGAAAGAATCGCCTTCTCGCGTGGTGTTTCCTCATAAATAATTGGAACCCCGCGCTATCAACAGTCAGGAATCACGCTCTCGCTCTGGATGTCCTTGCGATTTCCTTGGGAATCGCGCTATCCTTCGAGACGTCCTCACGATTCATGCAGGACTCACGCTTCAGCAACCCGCCCGCTCGACCCCGCCTTCGCGGCCCGCCCGCCCGACCCGCCCCGCCCGTCTGGTTCTGCCGCTTGTTTTTCAGCTCCGAACCCCCTCCTGCTAATCTTAGTCGTGCCCCATCCTTCTCTCACCCCGTTGTCCATTCCCTCCTCGCTTCACCTGTTTAAAATGCTGCGCTGACTATGCGTGGAAGGTAAGGAAGGTATACCCCCAAGGGGGGTACGATCAAAGACGAAGAGGGCGGGCATCGGGAATTTAGGATACACGTGTAGAAGGTCACGCGAGCCAATAATAACCAACCGGATTGCAATGATTGTCGTTGATGTCCCACTTCTGCACAATAATTGTTGTTGATCCCCCTGCCCCGTGCCCATACTGTTTGAAAAGATGATGCTCCTCAAGGGGCCAGCACCCGGCTTTTCACAAACGGAAAGTCTTGCGCCTTAGACTGTGCTGTTGGCCCCCAGTTTAGCACACCAGCGGCTCCAGCCTGATTTTTTTCCCAATGTATCCAAAATGGCGCTCTCGCGCGGGGCATCCTCGCAATTGATGCAGGACTCGCGCTTGCGCGTGGCACCACCTTGCAATTTACCAAAGCGCCGCGCTGTCAACTGTCAGGGCTCACTCCCTCGCTGTCGGTCTCCTCAGGACGTACCTGGGACTTGCGCTATCGCTCGCGACTTCCTCGCGGCTCCTGCAGAGCTCACGCTTCAGCGGCTCGCCCTTTCGACCTGGCCGTCTCGGCCCGCCCGCCCGACCTGCGCCGTCCGACCCGCCCGTGTGGTTCTGCCGTTTGATCTCCTGCTTCTGACCCCGCGTGTTGCTAATCTTTGTCGTGCTCAATCCTTCTCCCCCTTTTGTCCCTTCCCTCCTCCCTTCCCCTGCTGTAGGGGCTGCGCCAACTACACGTGGCAGGCGGCAAGTCGGCAAGGTACACCTCCAAGGTGGGGTATGATCGAAGACGAAGAGGGCGGGCATCGAGGGTATGGAAAACACAGGTTTGATGACCTGCGAACAGGTACCAACGAACGATCTTGGCATGATTGCTGTTGTTTTGAATTGTCACTTCTATGGGATGGTTAGTGTTGACCCCCCTTTCGCGGTGCCTGTCGTGTTTTTTTCAAGCGTAGTGCTCCTTCAGGGGGACGCATCCTGTTTGTTTGAACCAGGGGGGTCTTGAGCTTCAAGCTGTGTTGTCGGGCCCCGGTTTGCCAGAACTGCGGCTCCCGCCTGGTACCTCCTCCCCGTGTAGTCTCAAATCGAACTCTCGTTCTGGATCCCCCCACGAGTTATGCAGGAATCGCGCTGTAGCATGGGACTTCCTCGCAGTATGTTGAATCGCGCCCTCGGCACTCAGGAATCGCGGTCTCGCTCTGGCCTTTTCCACGACTCGCTTGGGGAATGCACTACAGCTCTAGACTACCTCACGATTCATGCAGGACTCACGCTTCAGCAACCCGCCTGCTCGACCTGGCCGCCTGTGCCCGCCTTCCCGACCCGTCCGTTAGGGTCTGCCTGCCCGATCTGCCCGTCTGGTTCTGCCACGTGGTCTCTGTTCCTGGCCCACCTCCTGCTGAACGCGCTCGTGCTCCATCCCGTTCTCCTCTCCCCCCCTTGCCCCTGCCTTGAATACGTGTTCCCTTCCACTATTTCAGGGGGTGCGCCAAACACATGTGGCAAACAAGGAAGATATACCCCCAAGTGGATACGATCGAGGACGACGATGGCAAATGTCGAGGGTTTGGGATGTACGTGTAGCACGCGGGCAGATAATAACGAACAGTATTAAAACTGTTGTTGTTGATGTTGGTGGTGCTGCTGTTGTTGTTGCGTTTGAATCTGGTTGTCTGAAGCATTTGCCATGATGATCCCACCGTCTGGTGCAACCTCTGTTTTTGATTTGAAGTGCTCCTCCAGGTCTCGCAATCTGCGTTTTACAAAGGGACGTATTGAGCTTCAGACTGTGCCCCAGGCCCTCATTTTACAACAACGACGGTTCCCACCTGATACGTCCGCCTGGCCGTTCCTCCACATGTATTCAGCATCGCGCTCTCGCGCTGGACATCCTCACAACGTATATAAAAAGCGCGCTCTCGCGTGGTACGTCCTCGCAATATTTTGACATGCCGCGCCTCCAACGTTACGGAATCACTCTCTCGCTATGGACTTCCTCACGATGTCCTTTGGCATCGCGCTATCGCTCGAAACGTCCTCGCGATTCATGCAAGAGTTGTCCTTCAGCGTCCCGCGCGCTCGGTCTGGCCGTCTGGGCCAGCCCGCCCAACCCGCCTGCTAGGGTCCGCCCGCCCGACCCGCCCGTGTGGATCTGCCACTTGTCTTCCTGTTCCTAACCCACATCCTGCAAATCGCTCTCGTCTTCCATCCTTCTCCCGCATTCCATCCTTCTTCTGTGTTCCATCATTCCCCTGTTAAGTCGCACGGGCAAAAAAAACGAACAGGCTTAAACTTAATATCGATGTTGACGTCGTCACACGACCCACGCCACGACCCATCCCGCGACCCGCCCCGCGACCCACCCCGTGACCCATCCTGTGACCCCCCCGCAATCCACCCGCGACACACCCACATTGCTTTGACGAACATTCAGCGCCTGCGGCGGGCTGTTTGCGCAAAGTGTTAGACAAAAGGCGCCTGCGGCTGGCGTCTTCAGAGCCTCGCAGGCTGCCGACGACTCCGCCGCCCCCTCACCCTCGTCCGCAACTGCGGCGTGCCACGTATATTTGTTTGGTCAGCGTCTCCGAGGCAACGGACAGGGAGCGGAAGCGGCGTCTGGGTCACGGTACGGGGCTAATTTGCAAGACAATTCGCCGCCAGCCAGAGTCGGCGGACAAAGCTCGCACCTGCAAGACAGGCTCGCAGTTGCACGTGCACAAAACAAAATGAACTAAATTCTCAAGACGTAAACGCACTTAGGCACCGCAGCCCGAACCACAGTGAACAGGCCGCCGTGTTGAAAGTGCCGATGCAATTGTGTTACGTATATGCGCGCGGGCATAGATTCTGGGCGTCGGCGACGTTCGAAGGGCCGCGGGCGGGAAACACACAAGGGCGTGGGGCCCGTCCGGGGCCCCTGATCACGCCGAAAGCGGCGCGCGTTCCCCGGAGGCGCCGGCCACGGCATCCCCCGACCTGCTTCTGACCCACCGATGCCTCGACCAGCGTTGGCGCGAGATGCTGCTGCTTTGCTGCCGCGACCAAAGGCACCTTCTAGACAGAGCAGGCCGACGCCCTCCTCCTCCTCCTCCTCCTCCTCCTCCTCCTCCTCCTCCCTCCTGTCTCCCTTCTCCTCCTCCTCCTCCTCCTCGTCCTCCTCCTCCTCCTCCTCCTCTTCCTCCCCCTCCTCCTCCTCCTCCTCCTCCTCCTCAGGAAACGATCAGAGAAAAAGAGGGTCCTGCGCGGGACGGCGCCGCGACCCGACGCGGCGGCTCACGCGGGCCGCCGCTGCGGCCCGCCACACCGGAGAGGAGGAGGCCCTCGCGCGCGGCCTCGCGCGGGCAGCCTTCGCGCCGGTGTCGGCGCCACCCACCCCGTTGTTTCTGCCCACCAGCCTGGAACAGATCCCCCTCCCTGAGCTGGGCATCGCCTCCTCACAGTGCCAATCTTATAGGGGGTCCCTCAGCTTTTCAGGGCGCATCCCTGAGATTGTCATCGCCCTTGGGCGTGTCAATCTCGGGGATGGGGATAGGTTCGAGGCTGGTGAGCTGCGTCGATCGCCGAGGGGGTGCGAAGTGGCCCGCGGTGCGCGGCTCGCCTCGCACCCTCGGGCCCTCGGGCCGTCGCCCCCCCCCCCCCCCCGAGAGAAAAGCGGCCGCCCTGATGCCCGGACCGCGGCGCGCGCAGCCGCGATCCGGGCATCAGGGGCCAATCTTGGGCCAATCTTGGGGATTCCCTGAGTTTTTCAGGGCGCATCCCTGAGATTGTCATCGCCTTTTGGCGTGTCAATCTTAGGGATGGGGGTAAGTTCGAAGCGGTGCGCGGCTCGCCTCGCACCCTCGGGCCCTCGGGCCGTCGCCCCCCCCCCCCCCCCGAGAGAAAAGCGGCCGCCCTGATGCCCGGACCGCGGCGCGCGCAGCCCCCCCCCGAGAGAAGAGCGGCCGCGCCCTGGCCCGGGCAGAGAAGAGCGGCCGCGCCCTGGCCCGGGCAACGGCGCGCGCAGCGCGGCGTGACCTTTTCGTGCCCCCGCCATAGTTCTGGTCGGTTAAAAATTACTTTCTTGAAGTTTGAAGATTCGTTGGAGCTCTAATATTTTTTTGTCCCAGCATGTTCGATCTGATTCCCGCTCGCCGTCTTGATCTTAGGTCGATCGGGTGGATATTGCTATCAAAGAGCACTCAGGCGGGATCGGGCGTCGATCTGGGACCTTCGTTGCCTACGAAGAAGAACTAGCTCTACGGGGCAGGCCAAGTCTCCCTTCCTTCTGGTCGCCTCGTGGGGGGGCGATGAAAGATGGGGGGAGACAGGTGGGCCCCGCGCCCTGCAGAAGGTCGCGTGGCGCGCGCCCGGTGGGCCCAGGGCCGCGGCCCGACTGCGGCGCGCCGCTGTCGTGGAACGGCAGCGTCTGGCAGGCGCCGTTCTTGCAGTGCTGCTTCACCCACTCCTGGGGGGGGCCGGCGGGGGGGGGCTCTCCTCTTTCTTCTCCTCTTTCTGCTCCGCCTCCTCCTGTTTCTCCTCCTCCGGCCCCTCCTCCTCCTCGCTCTCCTCCATTTTTGACGTTGCGCAGACGTGGATCGGATATCGTTACGCGTTAAGTGTGCAGAAAAGCAGACATCGACTTAGGCAAAGAGCCAACAACTTAAGCCTCGCGGGTGCAGCAGAAAAAAGGGAAGGCGAAGAGCAACGAACAGGGTACATGGCCGTAAGGTCATAGAGTATGCGCCCGTAAGGCCGCGAGGTCAAGTGGCGAAGGACAGCAACGCAGTAACTCAATAATCACAGACAAAAAAGGGTACCGAACGATGCGAGGCCGACCTATGCGTGCATTGCGAATGAATACAAAGAGACCAGCGGCGCAAGGAGAGTAACGCAGCGATCTAAGTGCGAGAGTGTGAGTGCAAATCTGTACAGGCCGGGCCGGGCCGCGCACTCCTTTAGGGTCGCACTCGTGTGCTCTGCCTTCCCCCACCACCCCCAAGTACCTCCACCACCAACCATCATTTCTCTAAGCACGGCAAGCTGAGAGAACAGAGACAGGTGGGTGCAAGAGACGGTAAGCTGGCGCCATACTGCTGAGCAGCGACCGTAGCCAGGCAGAGGGGAGAGGCCTGCTCGTGAAATTTGAGAGTACACATGTTGAGCCAAACTGTGCTCTAGGGCTGGCGCAAGGTGTGCTGGCTGGCCCTGTAACGGAACAGCAGTGCGGCAACTCTTCGGCTGCTGCCCGTGTCCCTTCGGCTCCTCGCGGGGGTGGCCCCTTCACCGTGCCAGTTCCTTGGGGGGGGGAGGAGGGGCCCCCGTCACTGTGGCCACCAGTGTGGCTCCTGTCCCCCCTTCAATGTAGAGACCTGCGTGTGTGACGCTGGGGTAAACAAAAGCCAGGATAAACGGTAGAGTTGCCCGCAAGCTGGTACTAGGCTGGCCAGGTAGGTACTGGCCGGCCTGTGTGAGGCAGTGTGTAAGAGAGTGCATGAGTTGTGTAAAACGCTTCAATGCTGATTAGTGTGGTGAATGGCATAAGCTTGGTCGCTCCCTCAGCCAGGGTCGCGCCTGTGTGCATTTCTTCCCCAACTACCCCCAGGTACCTCCTGAATCCTGTCTGACCTCGCCAAGCCGACCTCCCCCATCTAGTAGTAAGCACAGCAATTCTGGCTAGACAGGGTTGTACTGTCTGTGATTGAACTTGAACGAGTAGAGTAATGCTTGCGAGGGCTGCAGTAAGAAGGGCTGGCGCTGTACCAGGCCGGCCTGTATGTTTTAAACCGAGAGCACGGAGTATGCGATTACGGGCTGCAGTGAATAGCCTGGTGGGGGTGTGAGAGAGAGAGAGAGAGAGAGAGAGAAAAAAACAAAAGAGAGAGAGAGGGAGAGAGGAAAAACATAACAGGCAAGTGTGACGCGTAAAGTCTGAAGCAGCGATAGAACGAGCTTGCAAAGCCCTCTGCCAGGGTCGCGCCTGTGGGTCTGTGAGTAAGTGGGGCCACGCCCTGTAGGCCAGGGGGCCCCGAAAGGAAGAGTGAACTTTAAAGCTCCTTCGCGTCCCCTCCCCAATATCTCAACAAGCACGACCAACAGATCCCCAGCAAGCCGCCCAATCCTCCACCTCTTCCCCCTCCTCCTCCTCGTTCCCCCTCACTCCGCTTCCTCCTCCTCCTCCTTCTCTTCCTCCTCGTTCCTCCTCACTCTGCCTCCTCCTCGTCCTTGTCCTCCTCCTCCTCGTCCGTAGCCATTTTGGCTCAAGCCAGCATCAAGCCCCCTGGTCGCCATTCCCGCTGCGCATGGCCGGTCCGGAGCGTGGCGCTGCAGGGGCTTGGGCATGTCGCTACGGGAGCCGCCTCTTCGAGGCGGAGCGGCAGCGCGGGCCGCCGCAGACAACCTGGTGAAGAAGCTCCTTGGCCAGATCGACCTGCTCCGCAAGGAGGTGGACAGGCTGCGATCTCCTCAGCATGGCCCTGCTGACGAGGTCGCCCGTCGCGAAGCCATTGCTCGGCCTGCTCTTCGCGCCCTTGTGGCTGGCGATCGCCTTTCTGGTGGCCGTCGTCTGCGGCGGAACGTTGCATGGCATGCAGCGGCTTACCCGAGTGCTGGTGCTCCGCGCGAGGCATGGGTCGTAGCCCAGGCGGGCCCACGCCTAGGCGCAGGCGTCCCCTCGGCGACACCTGCTTCCGAGGAGCCGCACCACGCGGAGTTCGGCGGGCTGCAGCGCGACACGGGCGTTGGGATGCTGGCGGCGCCGTCGGCCCCCGCTCATCCCGCAGTGCTGTGCCGCGAGGCTCTGACTTTCTTTCCAGGTGCTGGCGCTCATCAGTTTCGTGGCGGCATGTGCAACGTGGACGTCCTCCTGGACGTGTTGGCGCCTGCTGTCAAGTTTCCCGCGTGCAGGGTCCACCCCTCTGTCGTGGATGGCTCTGAGGGTGGTGGTGCAGCGCTGCCGCACAAGCCTGAGGCCCAGCTCACCAAGCAGATGGACGAGGTCGTCGCCTGCTCGAGCCTCGACGCCGAGCAGGAGGTGTCGAAGCTGCAGAAGAAGGGGCCCACGGTCGAGCCTGAGCGGGTCTTGGTGGAGTCCGTGGGCGTGTGCACGGCCTATGACGTCGAGGTCGGCTCGGCGCTGGATTTCGACGCCGTGGAACGCCTCGGGAGCGGGATCACCGTTGACGGGCCCCCTAAGGCCGTGCCGGCGCGGTGCCCGCCGAGCTGGTCCAGGCGCTCACCGCCGAGGAGCCCGCCAAGCTCCTCCAGGCGGACACCACCGAGGAACCTGCCGAGCTGATCCAGGCGTACACCTCCGAGGAGCCCGCCGAGCTGGTCCAGGCGCATACCATCGAGGAGCCCGCCGAGCTGGTCCAGGCGGACACCTCCGAGGAGCCCGCCGAGCTGGGCCAGGCGGACACCACCGTGGAGCCCGCCGAGCTCGGAGGAGACCAAGAACGGCCCCAAGACAGCCGTGCTGCAGGAGAAGGCGGTGTTCGACGGGGAGGCTCTCCTGGCCCAGAGGTTCATGGACAAGCGGAGCGACGGGGGCGTGTACATGGGCGACGCGGTCACCATGCTGGAGCGCGACGGCGCCGAGCTCGAGTTGGCGGCCAGCTGCGTGGCCTCCGAGCGCTCCCACGACTTGCACGGCGTGGTCGGCGAGTGGCTGCTCCGCGTGGGGGCCCTCGCTCGGTCTGCGGGGCCCGCCCCGAAAGTTGGCGGCGGGGGCTCGTGCCGGCGCGCGCTCCCGTGCCCCCCCTCCCTGCGGGCGGCCTCTGGGGGCCACCTGGTCGCCCGTCCGTCCCCGCGGGGGTGGCCTCCGTGCCCCTGGCTGGCCCGTGGGGCAGGCCAGGGTGGCGACGGATGCCTGTCTGTGCCAACTTCGGGGTCCTTCCCTCGTCGCCACGGCGCCCGCGGTCACGTGCGCGCTGCGGCCAGGGGCTCTCTCTTCTTGACATCTGGGGCCCTGGCGGTCGTCATCCTGCTGACGACCGCCAGGGCCTCTTTGATGACGTCCCCCTCCCTCCTCCCTCCCTCACCTCCTCCCTCCGCCCTCCCTCCCTCCTCCCTCCTCCTCCCTCCCTCCCTCCCTCCCTCCCTCCTCCTCTCCTCCCCTCCTCCTCCTCCTCTCCTCCTCCTCCTCCTCCTCCTCCTCTCCCCTCCTCCTCCCTCCCTCCCTCCCTCCCTCCCTCCCCTCCCTATCCTCCCTCCCTCCCTCCCTCCCTCCTCCCTCCCTCCCTCCCTCCCTCCCTCCCTCCCTCCTCCCTCCTCCCTCCCTCCTCCTCCCCTCCTCCCTCCTCCCTCCTCCCTCCTCCTCCTCCTCCTCCGCTCCTCCTCCTCCTCCTCCTCCTCCTCCTCCTCCTCCTCCCCCTCCTCCTCCTCCCCTCCTCCTCCTCCTCCTCCTCCTCCTCTCCTCCCTCCCCTCCTCCCTCCCTCCCTCCCTCCCTCCTCTCCTCCCTCCTCCCTCCTCTCCCTCCTCCCCCTCCCCTCCTCCTCCTCCTCCTCCTCCTCCCTCCTCCTCCTCCTCCTCCTCCTCCTCCTCCTCCTCCTCCTCCTCCTCCTCCTCCTCCTCCTCCTCCTCATCTCCTCCCTCCTCCTCCCTCACTCCTCCCTCTCTCCTCCTCCTCCTCCTCTCCTCCGCCTCCTCTCCTCGTCCTCCTCGTCCTCCTCGTCCTCCTCCTCCTCCTCCTCCTCCTCCTCCTCCTCCTCCTCCTCCTCCTCCTCCTCCCTCCTCCTCCTCCTCCTCCTCCTCCTCCTCCTCCTCCTCCTCCTCCTCCTCCTCCTCCTCCTCCCTCTGCAGCGACTGCACTGCCCTGGCCCCGGGCCCGCCCGAGGAGGGCCTAGGACAGCGACACCGCGAGCCCCGATGTCGGCGGGTTCCTACTCGGCGGCCCGACATCTGGCCATCGCCGGCCATTCCCCGTATCTTCTTCGGTTTCGTGCGTGCTTTTGTTTTTCGTTTTGTTGTGTGTTTGTTTGTTGATGCTATTTTCTTCTTCTTGTCTGTTTGGTTGTTTTTTTGTGTTTGTTTTTTGTTGTTTTTTGTTGCTGTTTTGTTTTTCTTATGTTTCCTTTTTGTTTTCCCCCGCAGGATGATCCAGGATGCTCCTGAATAATTCCCGCCGGGAAAAAGTGCACACGCCCGAGCGATACCAGGACATTGGGCGGAAGGATGGGGGCAGAAGGGGGCCCATAATCGAATCGATGAGTCGGACCGGCGGTCGAAACGAATCGGATCAGCGGAAGTCGGCAGCCGAGTCGGGAGAAGCCGAATCGGCGCGGAGATCGGCACGCTGGTAGGCCTCCACTGAGAACTCGGAATCCACATCGGAACCCGAAGTCGGATCGAATCGGAATCGGCAACCATCGAAATCGAATCGAATCGAATCGGAGGTATCGAAACGAGCCCTGCGGGGGGTGGGGGGGGGTCTGGCTCCAGACCTCTGCGTAACGCGACTGCTTGCAGCA